AAATTAAAAATTCATTAGACTTTTATGTGCCACCAAAAGGAAAATGGTCTCTGGATTCAACGGACTCTTTTGATTTGGAAAACGAAGTTAACACGTTTTTAATGTCAGAGAAAAAGGTCTTGTTGCTTTTAGGCGAGGCTGGTTCGGGAAAATCTACTTTTAATTACCACCTTACTCAGCGTCTTTGGGAGGATTACTCGTCACAAGATAACCTAGATGATAAATTTGTTCCCTTATTTATTTCACTCCGAAATATAGAAAATCCTAATTCGAAAATCATCCAAAAGTATTTAAAAGAGTTGGACTTTGCTGAAGATCTTATCGAAAACTTTAAAAGAATTTGCAAGTTCGTGTTTATCTTCGATGGATACAATGAGATCAAGGATCGTCAATCAAATTTCTATGACAAAAATAAACTCCACGAGTGGAATGCTAAAGTCATTATCAGTTGTCGACCGGAGTATTTAAGTACAAAGTATATACAAAAGTTTACTCACAATAATGATGCAAAAAATTTTCAAGAGATATGGATGGCGCCTTTTTCCAAGGAGGAAATTCGAGAATATATTCGAAAGCACGTGGAAAAACAAGAAGACGTCACCGAATATTATGAAAATACCTTAAAATGTATACCGCACTTGGACCATGTACTAAGTAATCCCTTTATTTTAAAGACTGTCGTAGATCTAATGAATCAGTATAAAAACGAGAATCCAGAAAAAAGTATGAAGCTATTGACTTTATATAATACATTTGTGGAGAAATGGTTTGAGCGATCTAGAGACCATTTAGATCGCATTCAATTGGAAGAAGAAGAATGTACCATCTTTGAATCCCTCGAAGATGACTTTATGAGACACTGCATACAGTTTAACAAAGACCTCGCAGTTGAAATGTTCAAGGCTAATGAAGTAGTGGTAGAGTATTCAGGCTCAGATGACGCAAACTGGAGTGCTAAATTCTTTGGATATAAAAATACGAAGATACGTCTTTTACGCTACAACTCTCCCTTAAGTCGCAATGGCAATAAATACCAATTTATCCATAAATCTTTATTTGAATATTTTGTCGCTCGGGCAATCTATGAAGCGATTTGTAAAGAAGCTAGATCCCCGCTATTTGAGGAAAATCTAATAGAACGTGAACCCGGGATTGTTCGCTTTCTGATCGAGTATGTGCAACAAGATCAAAGTTTAGAAGAAACACAACAGGCCGAAAAATTTAAAGCGAATCTTTGTGATTTTATTGAGAAATCGAAGAAAGACGCCAATTTCAAAATTGCCGCAGAAAATGCAACCACAATTTTAAATAAAGCTGGTGTTATAGGGGAACAGTGATGATAAGTCACGCGATGTCATACTGGACATCGTGATGAGAATAAGTGGCATATTAGGGATACGTAATGGGAAAATAAGAATATTTATGATAATTGGGATAAATGGGATAATGAACATGTATAAAATACTTGGTTTTTCTTATCAAATATAATAAAAAAGTCTCACCTTATTATCTAATTTATCTGTATGGTAAATCCCCTCTTGTGTTCTATTTTCATTGTTATATTATAGTTTCACCCGTGATTATTTGAATAATTATACAAGATTGGTTGATCCAATCTCCTCTTTCACCTAAGAAGTAATTAGAGCAACCCTGAACCGCACAGCTAAATAATGCAAAGTGGGCCTACTTGACATGCCGCGACGAGATCTGTTAACAGACTCGCCGTTTCTCACTGCTACACTGGAATAATTTTAGTAGCAAGAATCTAAATAACATTCATATTTCCGAAGCAGATTTAAGTTTTAGCTTATTTGATCACACTAAATTTAAAGGTGTAAATTTAAGTAATGTTAGTTCCCAAAGAGCATGGTTATAGTATGCGGATTTTAGCGAGGCTAACATGTCGGGCATTAATTCAGAGAGCTACCTTTTTTAAATATTATGTGCACGTGTTTTTATTGTTGCTGCTATTCCTCAAATGAACGTTTATTGCCATTGAAAAATTTTATCGTTTTTAATTTCGAGGCATAAGAAAATATACTTAGATTCGAAGGACATACTAATAGTAACATTCTCGCTGGATGGTATTGGGTAGTGAAGATAAAACGGAGCGGCTTGGTCCTCGAAGATTTCGATCAGAATTCACCATTTTAGAACATAATGATAGTGTTAAAAGTATACTCTTCTTCCCAAACGGCACCCCATTAGCATCAGGCAGTGATGACAAGACGTTGCAGTTATGGCCTTTAAATAATCTAGACCTACTAGTGGTGTCTTTTCTGCGGCCTTCTCACCAGACTATCATTAGGCAGTGAGAATAACATGAGATATAATAATTACGTTACAAGTGTGGCATTCTCTCCAGATGGCACCAAATGGTATTAGGCAATGAAGATAATACGATGCGGTTTGGCCTTATTTTTGCATACTACAGTATGGTAAAATAGACAGTCTTATAGTCTTATATTGTATTTATTATTATTATTAGTAGTATTTTTATAATTAATGTAATTATGTGATATAAATTATATAGTTTACAAGACCTGGGGACCTAAGCAGTTTAAGCGGCTCAAGAATATACAAATTATCTTATTATAACGTGTAAATTAAATTGTTTAATGCTATTCCTATAATTTATTAAACTGATTTGGGAATTTCCGTTTTATTTTGTATTCTGAATTTTTTTTTTTTTTTATTTTCATAGATTATATGTTATTTGTATCGTATATAATACAAACATTAATTTTATTTTTTGAAAAATAGATCGAATAAAATAATTAATATATTTTATTTAAAGTATTTTTGGATATAAGAAGAAAGAAACATTTTAAATTTCCAAAAGTCAATCACTACAAAAAATTTTTTTATTTATTTTTCTAATTAATATACAAAGCCTTTTTATTATTATTAAAATTAATTTTTCATGTTAAATAAACTTAAACTTAATTTCACAAGAATTTTATACTGTATATCAAAAATTTTTTATTAAATTTAAATCTTTTAATAAGTATAAAATTTTTTTATTACATGTACAGTAGAATTCATTCGAAAAAAAATGAATTTATTTGACATATAAAAATCGATTTTATCAACAAATAAGAATCTTAATTATGGCATAATAATTATTTTAAATTAATTGATTTTTAAATAATTTTTTAGTTATTAAAAAAAAATATTATAATATTAATAAAGTAACCATAACAAACAAAAAATGGTAAACACAATAAAATTAAAATAAAAATAAAAATATTATTATTATTACTAATTAATTAATTAATTTAATAATGTTTGATTGATGAGAATTATATGAGATCAAATGTGAAATTTAAAATTTAAATATTATTTTTAATACGATAAAAAAAAATTATAGTATATAATTTTAAATTATTTTATTTGTTTTTTTTTTTAAAAAAAAAGTATCGTCATATACATTGTTTTTTCATTTGAAATAATATTTTTTAAATATTTAATTGCATAGTGGTTATACACAATTAAAAATAAATTAAATAATAAAAGATAATTTTTATTTTTATTTAATAAGATTTGATTTTCGAAAAATTTATTTTTTTTTATATATTTTAAAAAATTCTTTTTTTTCAATATAAAACCAAAAAAAAATCGTTTCAAGTTAAATATCAAGTTATCAGTTATCGCCATATTTACGTAACTGCGCCATGATACCTTATATGGTATACGGAATTTTATAAAAAAATATACTGTATTTATTTAAATTTTATTCAAATTTATCGTAAACTTGATAATAAATTATTTTCTTAAAATAATAATAACAATTCAAATTAAATTAAACTTTTAAATGATCGTATTGTTTAAAAAATATCTTTCTTAATATAAAATATATACAATATACTGTTGGATTTGTAAGACTAAAATCGATAATTCGATAATTCGTGGTACGTTACTATTAGTATTAACCAAAATGGGTTTTATTCATTTTCTATTAACTTAATCTCTTATGAATAGGGCTATTAAAAGTCTGGTTCGATTCGATCGGCTCCAAAAGCCGAGCCTTAATTGAAATTCAGTCCTAAAGACAGGCTTATTCCCAGTTACGTGTATTTATGGTTGTACAATACATGTATATACTTATTATGATATGACGCAACGCGAAAATATGAATTTTAACTTGGACTTGGTAAGTATTTAATTAAAACGTTATTTATATAATGTTTATTTTTTTAATTTATGCTAATTTATTATTTATTCTAGAATATCGGCTTCCAACCAGCTCTTCAGACACATTGAGGCTCTTGTTGTCTCTTCAAGAAGGCTGTTTCTTTCGGAATTAAGAGTGTTCTTTGCTGTAGAAAAGACACATTCACAAGGAACACTTGTGATTTGTAATGCAAAATAATCTGCTGCCATGCAGGCTACTGTTGGAAAGCGAAGGGCATTGGCTTTCCACCACAACAATGGATCAATATTCGGTTCCGGAGGTAAGGAAAGGTAGGTATTTAACTCATTTGCAGTTTCGTTTTCTTCATTTCTATTTGATTGTATTAATTTTCGAAAAACCTCCAATGCATTTTCTTGTTTAGGTGCTAATATTACGTTATCTACATGATATATCAAATAAGAAATTTTTAAGTGATTAATAATCAGTTGACGGTTCTCTTTATTAAAGGTTTCGTATTTAGTTGACGAATCAAGAAGGGCAGGAATAGTTGAAGTTTGCGATAGGTAAGTCCAATAATTTGTCAATTTTTTCTTCATTTTCCGTGCTATTTCATAATATATACTAAAATTTTGAATATAGCAATCGAGATGCACAAAAAGTCCTTGAATAATTAACCGTAGAGATCCATGAGAAAGTAATGAAGCACTTGATAAAATTAATGTTGCTTTATAGAAAGATTTAAGGAGTTGAATCATGTCTTTAATTATTTTCCAGTCATTAAGCTCCAAATAAATTTCTTTTAGCTCAGGATGGGACTGCACAAGACTGTCAGTAGCATTTTGAATATTAACAAGCCGTTCGAGCATTAGGTATGTAGAGTTCCATCTAGTTTCGACATCAAGTATAGGTTGAAGAAAAGGACAATCTAAAATAGCAAAAATCTGCTTCATATCTTCCAAGAGCAAAGGTGAGTTCCGTATCTTACTGCAAAACTGACGTACCTTTTTTACTTGATTAACGTATTTTTTTTGTTCTTCTTTAACAACGAGATTTAGAACATGTGCCGCGCAACGTATATATATAAAATCTGCACTTATAGATTTTTGAAGATAACGCCAACAAGTTTGGTTATTTGATGCATTATCTCCCGTAAATCTGATTATCTTATTTTTAATTTTCAGATCTTCTATAAGCTTGATAATTGTTTTTCCTAGGTATTCTCCAGTATGGGAATCGTGTAAAGGAATAAGATCGAGAAAAAGAGTTCTTGTTTTCCATTCAGTATCAATCCAATGGATGGTAACTCCGAGAAAACATTGCTGAGTACATCCAGTCCAAGCATCTATAGTAAGGGCTAATTTACTTGGATTTTTTTTTAAAATATCGCATATTCTCATCTTAGCTAATTCATA